GCTAGCTATGCATTGTGACGTCACAAAAAATGTTATAGTTGAAGAGAGAGAGAGAAGAATAAGACATTTTTTTTTTTTTTTAAATTTTTAATTCACAATAACATTAAAGTAACAAACATGGAATACTTTGACATAATTCTTTTTGAATAGGAAAAGTTCTCCTCATGTACAAATATTCTGTTTCACAAGCACAGTCCATGATGTCGTATCCTTCTTTGAGCACTTTATTTACATAATCTTTGATACAATCACGGATTTCTTCCATCCATTTCCCTTGAATCCAAGTCCTTGCTGGTCCCTCTGGTTTGTGAGCGAAAACGTATTTTACTTTCCATTTGAATTCCTGATATTGGGGTCGCCATGGTCCTAATAATACTATTATAAGTTGTCCACATTCATGGTCCGGTAATTTGATTCTCTTATACAGGTACACATCATTGACTCCTGTTTCTCCCGGATTCTTATCCATGAAATCTTGGATACATTCGTCTTTATTTTTCATCCATTCTCCTTTTTTAGTGGAACCTGTATGTTCTTGCATTTTCCAACGATACTCTGAGCTTAAAAAATCCATGTTGCTCTATCCTCAGTCAGATCAGAAATGACTCTTTTTTGTTTCCCCATTTTATATATACTCTGTGATGTATCTATTTTAAGACATTACCCCTGTGTATTGGTGGTCTTCTTAGGGGTATGATGCATCATCGTAGGACTAGGCATGATATAACCTACTGAAGAACTGACACATACCATCCAATATTCTCGATTAGGATCATGTAAAGCTAACATGACCACACTGGTAATGATGAGAGAGACACAGATAAATAATTGGGCGAAATAAACGATTTCTTCGCGAGGAATATTCTCTCCACAAAATTTCCAATGAGGTGTTATTTGATGAGATCCGTTTGGGGAATCCATGAATCAAAACTAGGGGGATATCCTTTCCACCGAACTTTGACTTCTTGAATGATTTTTTTCCCGACGCGTCGCTTTTTATACCCCAAGATTTCCTCCACTTCGTACACGTCGTCTTTTTTAATGATCTTTTGTAATTCTTTTTCGTAAAAAGTCCCTTCTAATTCCTCTCCGTTATAATCTTGCACTCTATACACGTAAGGATACCTTCCAGGAACTCTTTTAGAAATGGTAAACAGTTCTGTGGTCCAGTTAGGTAAATATCCTTTTTCAAATGTGCGTTTGGCTTTACTGATGCGGACCTGATCTCCTTCTTTAAACTGAGGTTTAAGAAATTGTTTTCGATTTGATGTCCCATATAAAGTTTTCCAGACTTTTAACACATTAGAAGCATTCACTTGAACTGGGGCTCTTTTGATACTCCGATGATAGGTATGATTGTAAGCATACACTAAATCCGGTAAAACTTCTAAATACCGTCTGGTTTTATGACGAGTGAAATAACGCCACATGCGTGCTTTGAGTGTACGCTGAAATCGTTCCACGATACTGGCTTTAGTGTCCGTATTACGAGTAGTAAAAAAATGAATGGATTTAAAAGCTTGTAAGAATTCTCGATTGGTAAATTCTTTTCCTTGATCGGATTGAATGCGGACGGGACGTCGACCGTCTTGTTGAAAAATCTGTTGTAATCCTCGAATCATTTCTTTTCCTGTTTTCTGTTTTAAAGGCACTACCCAGGCATATTTAGATAAGACGTCAATGGCACATAATAAAAACGTATATCCATCATTATGTTTCTTTAAACTGGACACATCTGCTAAATCTAATTGCCATTGTTCGTCTATATCGGTCACTCTAGTCTGTTGTCTCCGGAATTTTCTTTGAATGGGTTTATGTAAAGTATAAGTATCTTGCTCTTTTAACCATTCTCGAATCTTTTTCAGGGAAATTCCTAAAGGTTTGACCTGACGATACAAAGCTTGTAGTCCTCCGTACCCTCTTTTAGGATCATAATAAATCTCTTTTAAAATATCTTCTACTTGTTTCTTTTTCATATTTTAGGCAATGAAAGCCAATTTTCATCGATTTGTCCTAACTTCTTTTCTTCTTCCTTTTTAGCTTTAAAGGATCTAATGTCTTCTTCGACTTGGGCTTTTAATTTCTTTCGAGCTAAAGGACTATATCTGGATCCTACCTTTGTCCCTACAGGAGTTGAAATGGATTTTTTAATAACGGTTCCTCGATCTTCTAGGGGTCTACTCACTGGAGTGTCAAAAAAGGAAGAAAATCCACTATCGTCTATTTCGTGACTTTTAGGAGTACTGATTTTTCCAGGTCTCTGCATGGCTTTTATAAGGTTTCCATTGCTCACGTATTCTAGAGGAGTACGCGTTTCTTTTAAAGCTTGAGCAAATTGTTCTAATCCTGTAGGAACCGGATGATGTTTACGAGACTGAGATCTCATACTATCAGCCATTAAATCCACAATGTTAGAATCGGGAATTTTTTGACCTCGATAACTAATTTCACCTTCTTTATTCCAAGTTAACACTTTAGGGTTTTTTTTTAAATGATTTAATAATAATCCAGCTTTTCTTTTCATGTTTTTATTCACTGTTTCAAGAATTTCATCGTCAATTTCAGCTGCTGGTAATGCTGCTGCTGCTGCTGCTGGGGCTGGAGCTGGAGCTGGAGCTGCTGGAGCTGCTGCTGCTGGAATTTTCAGTTTAGAAATAGGTTCCTGTCTAGCTTGTTGTAAAAAATTCCTATATCGATGAAGTTCCTGGCCATATAAAGCGACTTTTTCTTCTGGGGTTAAATCTTCACGTCTTGTAATCTCGTCCAATTCCTGACCTAAACTGATGGTGGATTGAAATTCCGGAGGTTTGGGTAATTTGGCCTTGAGATCATTTAATAAGACTTCAGGAACTAACACCATTTTACGACTCATATTTTTTTCTTCTTCTTCTTCTTGAGGACTTTATAGACGGATTGACCGGCACCTAACAGTAAAGGTGCTGCTGAGATTAATAAGGGTAAAATGTTTCCTCCTTTTTGTTGAAGTAATAAAGCTCGTCGTTTCTGAACAGATTGAGGTTTGACCAGTCTCCTGAAGATGTGTTTCTTAGGAGCTAGTTTTCGTTTATGAGCCGAACTAAGAGGTAACACTCCTTTTAATAGGTTGTAAACAATCTCGCAGATTTTGAGAATACAATCTCCAGAACAATGTTTTAAAATACCCGTCTTTAATGGAGAGGAATAGTGAGGGTCTGATAACACTCTTAAAAGAGGCCAATGAGGTTTTAATCGTGTAGAACAGCATCTTTTCTTCTTCTTCTTCTTAGCCATCCTGGGGTTAAAATGAGGACATGTCCTAGGTTTCTCCCCTTTTTATACTCTCAAGGAGGAGGAGCATACATGTCGTGTTTGGCCTTCTCGTGTTTGTCTCTATTTTTCTGGGTGACGTAGAATTTAGAACAATATCGGCATTTATATCTCATTCCTTTAGGAAGTTGAGGTGTAGAAGCGGTCAGAGGTTGAAAGCGTGCTATTTTAGGAGTGTGAATGGGTACTTTAATTCTAGGAGTGTGAATGGGTACTTTAATTCTAGGAGTGTGAATTCCCACATTGACTTGAGGAAACATTTCTAAATCGGGAGCTCTTTGACTGCCTATGGGTCCCATAGGACGATCCATTCTCATTTCAGCTTGTTTTTTTAATAATTCCCCAATAGTTTTTTGTCTTTGTTCTTTATAATACTGATTGATTTCGTTTTTTAAACTTTCAGGCATGGCTTTTCGTTGAGCTGGAGTTTTGGGAGTCGTTTTTTTCTTTCTACCACCTTTTCTTTGAGCAGCAGGTTTTCTCTTTTGAGGTTTTCTCTTAGGAGGTTTTCTCTTCTTTCTGGTCTTTTGAGCTGCTCCTCCTACTCGGACCATCCAATCTGGAAATACTCTTTGTTTCTTATTATTGACTCGCACTACCACACTTTTTAAACGACGAACACGTCGTTTTTTAGGTGCATTCCATTTAAATAAATGACGAATGATGACTCCGCCTAGAAATCCGGCTCCTCCGCGTTTTAAAATGGCATTTTTTCTGTCTTGATCACTCGCCGACTTATCGGCTATGATACTTAAATCTTGACGATGATTATTAATAAACTTTTGAGTCTGTTTATTGATAGGTAAGACCCCACGTATCAAATTTCGAGCTCCCATAGCAAACCAATTCAATAAGGCTTTACGCCCTAATTCGATTAAATGGGCTCGCTTGGCAGGATCTCGCTCCTGCTGTAAACGTCGTAACGTTTTCACTAATTTACTCTTGGCTGAGAGAGGTCGACCCATGACGACTGTATAATGATAAATGACAAGTTTAATGTTGGTACATTTTTATTTATACTCTTGTGGCATGTGTATAGTTAACAATTCAAACAATCGACTTCTCAATCTGTATTCGTCTGGGGTGTGTGGATTCAAGTCCACCAGGAGATACCCGTGAGGAACACTGGTGGCTTCTTGATAGGCTGACATCAAATGAGGTAAGGCTAACTGTCGACTCAAGACACTGATTTGAGATTTGTCTCTGGGATTTTTAAACAACACTAAATAATGAGCATTCAAACTAATAGTGCGATGTTGTGGTGCCCGATCAAATAAATTCTGAGTAATGTAAATCACACTGGTATTCCGATGATGCGCTTTACGGGTAAACCAATCCACGATAGAATCGATGGCTTTTCCTCCCATCATGTCGTCAAAAATGAGTAAGTGAGGAATACTTAAATTGGCTACTAATTTCTCATCGTCTTCTGGAATATTTCGAATGAAGGAGACCTGATCTGTTAAAGAAGTGTAAGCAGGTTGCCATTCTCGATAACACCAGACAATTTTTTGTGGCATGGGGGTAATCCAATGTAAATTTTCCACTAATTTCTTAACAAATTCCGTTTTCCCCGATTTAGATGGTCCTGCTACCACCATGGTAAATTCGTGTTTTAATTGAAAAGACGGGAGTGTCTCGTCAGGTTGCATGATGATAAATGAAGAAAAAAATAGGGTTTCAATCCTTTTTATTCAACACAGAAATATACGTTGAGTTCTCTTCACATCGGATCGACAAATGGGGCAATACCGGAAGGTGAGAGCACATAATGAACAGCAACATATGTGTCCACAAGGGAGTAAAGCCATTTGTAATTCTCCCTCTAAACAAATGTGACATTTTCCTGTGGCCTGAATCTCTGTAGAGGTTTGCTCTAGTAGAGGTTTAATTTCAGGTGAAACTTTGTATCCCACCCGGAGTAAATGGTTAATGAATACGATCATCACCCACTCACGTCCTTTATAGGTATTGATGTAAGGACAATTAGGGTTCCAATAAGCATGTTCTACATAAGGATCGTCTGTAGGTTTCCAGCAGTTTAAAGTCATACCACAATGAAAACAGATGGTCTTATCACTCACTCCCCTGTAATAAAATCCGGCTTTGGCTAGGTTGGGTAATAATCCTTTTAAAGACTCGGGCCATCCCTCTTTAAAGGTAGCTTCTCTCTTTAAGAGCAGAGCATAGTTAGGGTAATGAGGAACCCCCTCTGGCTCCCTAGAATGATTAGCCATGACTGAAGTGTTCAAATATGTTTGTCCCCTTTTTATAACCCCCTTCATATTTTAAGGGTTTTCCCCACATAAAATAAAAACACATTTTGAAATACAGTTTTTTAATAACCATAAGGTAAAGTATTATAATCATTCATTAATTGTCTCTTATCATAGACAATTCTATATTGTTTTTCTAAAGGTACTGTCTTGACTTCATGTTGACGAGTCCTCTGTATTTTGTAAGGATACGAGACTTGGATTTCATCCATTTCTTTCTTGAGCATTTTTTCTAATGTCTCTGGTGATACGATATTGGAAGCCCGATAATTAAGAGTCAATCCTTTGACTTTACACACGGAATTTCCCTTGGCGGTGAGGTAAGCATAATTTTTAGGACCTCCTGACATGAATTTGATAATGTGGTCCCCGTCTAATTCGTCGGTCCATTCTCCTAAACTGTGGCCAAGGGTAGGATTAAATTGTCCCTCCTTATGTTGGTATATGATACTGTCCGTATCGAAATAAAGGACCCGATCTCCTAAAGGTTGTAAAGTCTCGTAGAGGTGTAATCGGGCATGAGCGGTAGTGAAACAGGCCAGTACCACGTTTCCGAAGGGACACTCTTCTACGAATTCTTGTTTCTCTTGATAATTCACTAGCATCATGTCCGATTCGGGCTGCTCTTTATTTTCTAAGAGTTCTAGCCCTTTGATGTCAATGGTCGAATCTTGTAAGAGTTGCTGTACTTCCTCTTCTTCGGTCAAGTATCGAGTTTTAGGTAATAACAGGCGTTGAGCGAATTTTCCCCACAAGCAATTTAAAAAGAGTTTGGCTATCGTTCTTCGCACCGGATTTTTTTCTATACTTAACAGGTCCATTCTAATGCCTTCTCTGTCTATGACTTTACGAATGTAATCTAGTTTTTGTTCCTCCGTCTGACAATCAGGTGGGAATCCAGAAGCTTCCTGTTTGATCTTTAAGAAGGTATCGATGTAAGATCTGAATAAATCTTGACTGCTTTCTGGAAAATGCCAAACCTCGTAAATCCGCTCTAAAGTATATCCCATGTCTAAGGCTTTATGTAATTCTGTAGTCACCCAAGTACCTGTAAGACTGCGTTCCTGATCTGTGTGTTGACATCGATGTTTAGAAGAAGTAGAGTCCTGTCGTTCCGCACAGGTTCGACATAATGGAAATAATAACTTGCCTCCTGTGCGATAAGGTAAAACGGGGTGATAGAGGCCTCGGGGTGGTAAGACCCGACAGTGAATGAGACCGAAATAAGTTCTCACGTCCTGGAAGTCGTCTGTTATGATCTGAGGATGGCCCAAAGGAAAAGGTCTGTGTTTTAAGACGTATGGGTATAAGGAACAGACGTCCACGTATCTCATGTCCCCCTCCTCACAATACAATCTTGTAGCATTCGTCCGGCCTCCGTACAGGGCTTCTCGGGGGTTCAAAGGATCTGGAATGTCCAGGTCTCGTACATAATTCTGTAATGCCACCTCTCTTTGTACTTGTTGATCGAAATCGTGTTCCCAGATACTATGTACGGAGTACCCCATTTCCTCTAAGACCGTATTCCTCCTTAAAGTTTCCTCGTGTAATTCCTGGTAAGTAAATTGTGTCCGGTGAGGATGAGTTTCGGTCTGTAGATTGGGATAGCAAGTAGGGCATCCGTGCCAATAGCATCCGTAAAATTCGTAGATGGTACGAGTAGCTTCCTGGTATCCATCTACAGTATAACTTCCAATCTTGACTTCTCCTCCGTTTCTAGCATGTCGTATGTGAGATCCGCTCTGGTGACTCATCCAGGTTAGCCACCGACAGGCTTTGGCGGAATATTGACGTGCAGGCTGATACCCCATGTTGGGAATGATGGCAATGGTATCTTCGGGCATGAATCCTCGACGGTAAGCTAAATTGGCCGCACTGGCAAAAGTGATAGATTCCTGGAAGGGGTCTACATGGACCAAGGTCTTGAGAGTGGCTCGAAACTGAGCACAGCATCGTCGTAAAATATCGACGTCTGAAATACAATAGTCTAAAAATTCCTTCTGGAAATCAAACACTTTTCCGGCTTGTTGTTCGTACCATTGGTAAAAAGCCTGTCGTCCACTTATAGACATGTCGTCCGGATTGTAGAATGCTGCCGGTGGATAAGGCCCCACATAATTCTGGTTCTGTTCTGTATTAAAAAAGTGAGGGAAATACCCTTTTTTCAGTTCGGTGAATCCGAAAGCAGAGGGCATTTTAGACAGAGCAAAAGGTAAAAAATTATAAGAGTCGATGAATTTCAATCCGCAGATTTGCATGGATAAGATTTTACTGCCGTTCATGATGACTGTAGGCGTCATGCAGGCGGAATGCACCAGGTAATTTAAAATGAACTGTCCGTCATATCCTTTGAAATTGTGGGCAATGATGATAGCCTCGTCGTGTAATAAGGCGGAATTCTTATTGCCTGTGTCGGGCTGTAATAACCAGTCCATGAAGTGTTTTAAGGTATCTGGGCCTTTAAACACGTGTTGACGGGGTCCCATATGTCGACAGTGAGGACAGGGATCTTCTATGGGTAAGTGCCCGCAATGCTGACATACGCGGTGTGCCACACATAAATTAGGGAGGTGGATGCCGTTTTCCTGTGTACATTCGAAATCGAAATAAATATAAAACTGTAATGTCTCTTTGGCTTTCTTTTTCTTTTTCTCAGGCTTCAGTTGAACGTAGCACTGATGATCAGTGTCTACAGTTTTCTTACAGATCTTACATTGTTTCTGTCCTCCGCAATGATGATGAGGGAGTAATCGTTTGGGCATCCATTTCTCACAATGCTCGCATCGTCCCATTAAACTGCATACCGTTGTGGCCGTATTCTTACTGTGAGGTCGTAAATGGTTTTCGTAGCAAGTTCTGCTATGAAAAAATCCCTGGCATTGATAACATTGAATGTGGCTCCCGTCTGGAGGGCAGGGAGTGTCCGTTAAACAAAAGGAACATCGGTAAGGACACTTGGTACGATGGTCTGTGATGTTCCTGTATCCCACATCGCAATGATCACAATAGTATTGATTGCCCGTCACACCTGGCATAGACAAAATAGCATCGTAATGATGATCGTCTAACAGAATGTTTAAACAAGTTCCATCTCCGCCGCCTTTATAAATGGGCTCCAAACTGAGTTTAGAGGAGTTGGACTTAAACTGATATATTTTCAGTCTATAATGAGGGGCTAACACGTGTTGTAATTTCCCCCATTCTTGGGGTCCACAAGGATGATGAATATCACAGCCGGCTTGTTCCATGAGAGCTATAGCTTCGTTTTTCTGGTCATTAGCTCTTACATCACGCTTCCGCATACGTAGCCATCGTTTTTCCCATTCAACTAAACTCTCTGGATTTTCCGGTTTTTGACTGTGTAACCGGGTGACTACGATGGCTCGAGCTAAACAAAATTTATCCCAAGGATTGTCGATCTGAACGATGCATCGTTTATTTTTCTTAAAACTCTCCTTGTTGACCATCAGGTGTTTAGTATTCTGTCCACCACTGCCTTCTGGATATTTGACATGAAACATGTCGAATTCCATAGACCCGTCTCCCAGTTTAAAATCTTTCTTGGATTGTTGCACGGCTTCTATTTTATTTAAAATGACGTCCTCGTTTAAATGTTTACATTGAGTAAACTCGTACCAAATGTCGGAATCCAGAGAAGGGTGGTGAATGTTCAGGCGTACATAATCGTTAGGGTTACACTGCATTTGATATTTGACATTCTGTAGCATGTCTTTAAATAATCGCCGAACAAAGCCTCTGTTTTCCTCCTCTGGAAATTCTTTAAAATTCACACTGTACACATCTTCTTTAGCTTTAAATTTTCTGGAATGCTTAGCTTGATTGAGTCTCACTTGGTAATACTGGGAAATGGTTTTTGGTTTCGGTGGTGGTGAATGTGGTGGTGATGAAGACGGAGAGGGTTCTTCTTCTTCTTCAGGTAGATTCCGTAAACGTTGTAAGTGTTGAGCTCGGTTGGCTTTGGCTCTCTGGATTCTTTCTACCAGTCTTGCATTTTTTTTCCTGAGAACTAATTCTCTGGCTCTCTGTCGAGAAATAATTCTTTCTAATTCTTTCTCCCGTTTTTTCCATCTCATAAGTTGTTGTGCATGTAACAATTGTTTTAAGGCACTATCAAAGTTCATCTTGATAGATCTGACAACAAAATGAGCTGAAAGTCGGAGAAAAACTGTATTTATACAGTGTATGACGTCACAATACCTAGGTAGTTCGCTGATCCAAGACTAAGTATTGAGACGTACACAGTACGTACAAAAGGGTATATAAAGCAGAGCTGGAAATTTTAGGATCAGTCTTAGTGGGCATTTGTTACTAGACAGACGTAAAAAAAATATGGCAGAGGAAAAGTCCATGAATTCACCTCCACTCATACCAGAGACACAGGATAGTATTGAAGGAAATGAAAGAAGTTTGATATGCGATATCTTAGATCAAATGACCAATGTAATGGAGATACTTCAACAGACTATTTGTGAGTTTAAAGAAGACATGATTACTGAGATTCGTGTGTTTAGAGGAGTGATAATGAATGAGATTGGAAATCTAGAAAAGAAAATAGAGACTAGTCAGGATCAAAAGCAGATTAACAACAAGAGGAAACTTCCTACTACCCAGACGGAGAAGACCCTGAAACTCCAGAAGAAAAAGTAAATATGATGTACACATTACTTTGAATAAATCATCTTACACACTTTTGACTGTGTTATTGTTTTTTCCGTTTTCAGAAAATAGAGCTCTGTGTGAATGACACACATGACGTCACAATGGTATACTTGAATCGATGCCAAGATTGTGTATTGCCTAGGCCTGACTCAGCACAAAACGTAGATCAAACGTAGACCCCCCTTTTTTTTTACTTGGGTTTTTCCAGGGTGTATACTAGATTGAACAGGCCAGGGGACCAAAAAAAAGTGTACTCAGTTGACCCGCCTATCCAGGATCTGGGGGGACAAAAAGTGCACTCAGTTGACCCGCCCCTCCAGGCTTCTTATACTACTAATATACTGATAAAATCTCTATGCCATGCTATAATCTTCTAGTATTGTATAATACATGTAGCATGCACTCACAAAGAAGGAAAATTAACCTTTTCTATGTACTATATATATTTTTTCATATGAGTAGCTCCACCTACAAAATTATTGAAAAGCCAATACAAAGTGAGAAAAAAAATTCAGTGACCATATGTCCCAGGAGACAACGAATGGAAACAAACAAAATCCGGTATTGTTGATAATCTTTTATTCTATTTTTATAAAAATATTTACATTTGCAAATGTTTTCTTTTATATAACACTATTAAAAGCAACGCGTATCTATATCCGTATATTTACATTTGCAAATGTTTTCTTTTATATAACAACATTAAAAGCAACGCGTATCTATATCCGTATATTTACATTTGCAAATGTTTTCCTTTATATAACACTATTAAAAGCAATGTGTATCTATATCCGTATAAACACGGGTTCCTCGCGTCATAAACGTTCGACGTAATTTCTTAGTGACGTCATGGGGTCGACGCGCAATCAATAGATCAATCTTGTGCCGTTGAGTTTGAAAAAATAAAACAATTCACGCGTTAAAGGTTATAATCAGGCTAATAAATAATATGAATAAGTCACAAATGTAAATATAAGTAATAAGGTATCATTTTAAAACATCTATCGGGATATAAATACGGGTTGGTACGAGATCAAATTTACCATAAAGCCCTTCGGGCTTTATGGAATTTGATCTCGTGACCAACCCGTATTTATATCCCGATAGATGTTTAAAAATGATACCTTATTTCTTAAATAAACACTGGTTCCTATATCAAACATAAACGTTCGACGTAATTTCTTAGTGACGTCATGGGGTCGACGCGCAATCAATAGATCAATCTTGTGCCGTTGAGTTTGAAAAAATGAAACATTTCACGCGTTAAAGGTAATAATCAGGCTAATATATAATATGAATAAGTCACAAACGTAAATATAAGTAATAAGGTGTCATTTTGAAACGTCTATCGGGATATAAATACGGGTTGGTACGAGATCAAATTTACCATAAAGCCCTTCGGGCAATTTGATTTCGTGACCAACCCGTATTTATATCCTGATAGATGTTTTAAAATGATACCTTATTTCTTAAGGAGGAGAAGGACCTTGAGCTGAAAAAATACTTGTCATTCAATTTTTTTCATATTTTGTATATTTCTAATTAAGTATGTCCCACATATCTTAAAGCAGTTATATCATTAGGTTTCTTACCTTATTTTGGAGATATCGATTGACAAATACTATACCCTACCCTATCTAAGTGGAGTTTTAATTCTCCATGCTTCCGGGCTCATTACTCTGTCCATAATAGGATTTTTTAAGTATATATAAAAAATATCAAAGTGGACATGTATCTTTTAAATTATTTCAGAGTATAACTAGGATTTAAAATTCGAAAAAGCAAGTTTTGTCTATCACACTGCATCTGGATAGGGAAAATTACGCACTTTTTAAGACAACTTAAACAATAAGAAACGTAATTTTCAAAAAATTCTATCATTCAATACTTTTTAATTTACTTTGAAATGCAAATCCTTCAAATTATTGATTAACTGTAAAAATTTCGAATGGTGAAGCTGACCTCAATATTGCACAGGACATCGTTAAAGACGACATAAGCATGACAAAAACGTGCCATGTAACATTTCTCGAGTACGGGAAAAACCAACTATGACGTCACACGTAAGCTAAATAAGCGAAATAAGATATACCTACATATGATTTCCTTCAACAGCCATGCAAAAATAATTTTTGTGTTCCCCGTTTCTCAAAATATTTCATCATATACTGATTATGGCCTGTTTTTACATAATAATACCGCCCCTGTGTTCACCGAGTATGATCTTGCTGTACTAACAGATCGTGTATGACGTCACCGACTTGTTGGACGCGCAGTTTAGGGAAACAGAGGAGTGGATCAATCTTTTTCATAATTTGTTAATGTTTACAAGAATGTTAAAACTTTTTAATTTTTTTTATATAAGATGGTAATTAAAGTTAAAAAATTGTCAAAAATTTATACAAGAATTGATGCTTTACACGTTTTGCACTTATATAAACGGAGACTATGACGTAGTTAAACAGAGTCATGTGACCATGTGTCCTTCATCCCCTTAAATATAAACACGGGTTCATCGCGTCATAAACGTTCGACGTAATTTCTCAGTGACGTCATAAAGGGTCGACGCGCAATTCAGTGGATCAAACAAGTGCCGCTAGGTTTGAAAAATAAAACGTTTCATGCGTTAAAGATTATAATCTGGCAAATATAAAATATGAATAAGTCACAAATGTAAATATAAGTAATAAGGTATCAAATTCCATAAAGCCCTTCGGGCTTTATGGTAAATTTGATCTCGTACCCACCCGTATTCATAGCTCGATAGATGTTTAAAAATGATACCTTATTTCTTCAATATATCACATATACATGTACTAATTTGACCGTCCAATTTTCATTTTACATTAAACATCAACCAACTTTGGAATACTACTTAATATGGAATATATTTTCGATCAAAAGAAACTCAAGTCAAAGTAAACCAAATTATACAGAATACCATCACATTCATCTGAACGCAATAAAACTTCCTGCCTAAATAATTATCATGTGACCATTCTGTACCTTACATGTTATATTTATACACTCCTACAATTGTGTTTGGACCTTTTCATCTTCGCTAGCCAACTTGAAGGATTTCTGATCCGCTACTCTCCTCACAAACGGATTAGAAACCCTTGCTAGCATGGATAGGAACTTTGAATTTTTCGGTGTTCAGCAAGTTAAAATACATGTACTTGAGAAGTTGTGAAGAATTATGGGGAGACTGCAATGAGACTGTCAATGGGTCAGGTATTATAGCTAGGCAAATGGACATGTGCACATGATAAACAGAAGAGTATTGTTACATTTCATTTCTGTTCATCACTTTGCAATATCAGTGGAAATATTCCCCCAAATCTACCTAGAATAAAACCAAACGCCCTGATTCATTTTTTGAGTCAAAACTGGTTTTAACCTATACCACTGAATAGGTCAAGAGAGACCATGTGTTTTGAATTTAAATCAAAATAACATTAGTCGGGGGTTCTAGCTGAACACGAAATAAAACGGAAGAGAAATATCTTTGTCCAGACCTCCATCTGTGTCGAACAAAAAAGAAATAATCGGAAAAAATCGAGAGACTTAAAAAAAAAAAACGGAATACAAATTTTAAAACGGACTTAGCAAATTTAAATAGCTGAATTCCGCTTCAATTAGCGGAAAAAATCGTTTCAGCAAGACCGTTTTCCTCTCCAGTCCTTCTTTTTGAAGATTTCCTAAGCGCTTGTAGGTTAGACAAATCACCTTCGTCAACTTCACTTCTAATAAAAAAAACATTTACATTACCATGTCTGCCTTTCAGAGCTTCTAAACTAGTAGTAAATAAAACTTGTGCATCAATTTGCATTGCATTTAGATGTAAATTTACCTACTTCACAGTGATTTTGTTAATGTTTTGTCATACAGATCTATGCAAAATAAATTTTTTGAATAAATTTAGCTAGCGTACAAGAAAATGGTGAAGGAATACTCATTACTGTTTGACACCCTACGTCCTGTGTCAGCCGTGAAACTAAACTAAATGAAAGTTGCGGGTCCCTCGGATGAGACCTTAAAACTAGATGCCCCGTGTCACGACAGGCGTTGACAGGATAAAGAACCCTCGCTGCTCAATGGCCCCAAGTGCCGAGTATAGGTCTCAGTTTGAAGCCCTTCACCGGCATACGATGACTTTTCTATACCAATGAAAAATTCTCGAGTGGAAACAGCCATAGAAAAGCATAAATTAGTATAAACCTCAGTAAGCTTTGTCTACCATTTCATTCTGTTCCAGTATGCAGAAATGAAAGTGAATGTTGTTCTTATTAGTCCCCTACCGGTGAAACCGGAGGGGACTATAGGTTTCCTCTGAGTCTGTCCGTCCGTCTGTCTGTCAGTCTGTCCCACTTGGTTTTCCGCACTTTTTTCTAAATGCTTGCAGATATTGAGCTGATTTTTGGTATGTGAGTGTATCTTGATGAGTTACAGATCAAGTTTG